TGATCCTCCCATCTTGGATCCCAAAGTCCAGGTATTACAGGTGTGAGCCACTGCGCCTGGCCAGTCACATGGTTTTTAAAGGACACAGAATATACTGATCTGTTGACTTAAGTCATCTGTTGACGTAAGAGCATCACCAATTGCTTTTATTTTCTCCCTGCCTTATGCTATCCTACTTTTCAGTGTGGCAGAAAAAAATGTTTCAATTTTGGGGTAACATTTGACAACTTCCTGTTCAGAAACCTTATAGTGGTAAAATCTTGGTAATTCCACTTGGCTTCACAACCTGACCCCATGCCTCCCCCCACCACCTTTTTTTTCTTTTGAAGAGATAGGGTCTCACTCTGTTGCCCAGGCTGGAATGCAGTGGTGCAAGTGGTTTGATCATAGCTCACTGCAGCCTCGACTTCCTGGGCTCAAGTGAGCCTCCCGCCTCAGCTTCCCAATCTGCTTTCATTTCATCAACTTCCCATCTCTCCCTGTTTGTACTCTCTCTCCCCCTAGCTGGAACTTCTGTCATTGCTGCCACCTAGCTGATTTCTACTTCCACACCTCCTCAATCTACCAATCAATCTGCATTCATCCTCCACTGCTCAACTTAAGCATCTCCTCGTCCATTCTCTTCCTCGGGGAAGGTAGTATTGGATCGTTTCACAGCCCTGCGCAAAACCTCTCAGTGATAACCCCTTGTCTGCTAAACAAAGCCACGGCTTCTCATGGCAGCTTCTCAGCCTGGAGTTCAAGTCAGCCATCCAGTTGCAAATCAACACTGAGAATCCAGGATGTGTCAAGCACTCTATAGGGCTGGGAGGGCTGTGGGGAGTCAGACAGACTGGCTCCTGCCCTTGTGGGGAACACTCCTGGTGACATTAAATGGTTACCAGTCACCGATTACAGACTGACTAGTGTGACTCAAGCAGTTGCCAGGCCTCAACCTACCTTTCCAGAGTTTTTTCTCATCCTCCTGTTCCTCCCACCCAGGTCCAGCTCCCCACTTTGCTGCTGTGGCTGAGCTCACTTTCTCCCCTTTCCTGGCACAGAACATCTTTGCTCCAGCCCACCCCTCCAGCCCAGTTCCAGTTCGCTTCTTGCAGGAAGCCTGCCAGACAACTCAAGTCTGGAGGATCTTCCCTCATTTTAATTCCTAGCACTTATCCATTCAACAGATGTTTACTGAATGACTTGTTGAAATGTTTGATGAATGAGTTCATGAGATCCTAAACACATGCAGGGAGCTGGAGTTTTCCTACTAAGAGGGATCAAAGATTTGTTTTCCTTTTCCCTCTTTCAGGGAGGGAGGGAATCCATACAACTATGTAGTAGAACACACAAAATTACAGACAAGCAGAATGACAATAAAAATTATTCACAGCCGGGCTCGGTGGCTCAGCCTGTAATCCCGCGCCTTTGGGAGGCTGAGGTGAGTGGAATGCCTGAGCCTGCGGG